TAACTCACGTTGAGTTATTACTGAAAAAATCAGTCTTTAATCACGGTTAATTGTATGTGACTTTTTCCCGAGTCACCCATCCTGATGGTTTGGTGATTTTAACTCTAGACGAGGATGGATAAAATTGTGTTACTACTACCAATGTTGTCTACAAAGAGATTTTCAATAATGTATAATTCAAGTCATTGATATTATGGTTTTTTATATATAAAGATGACAAAATTGCTATATATCTACATAGAAAATATATCTTCCGTATAAATAATTTCTATAACTGAATTGCTAGACAACGAGCTAATTAGCCCAATTAATACAAATTCTAAACACTGATATATAAAATCTCTAAAGTTGCAGCACCGAATGCGTATATCTACACGTTAGCTATTAATTGGGCAATTATTTACTCAAATTCAAGCATTGATAACATCAGAAAACATAATCGGTGCAACTCAATTCTTCAATTATATTATATAATATTCGATGTTATAATTTATACAATTGTATATCGATCTAAATATTTATAAAATATTATAACAAATTCATTCCGTGCAACGCACGGGCGCAAATACTAGTTAAGACAAATAAGTTCTCATTGCCTGGGATTGCCTTGTTTTGCTATTACAAGCGTAGGGAGTTGAAGTATTCCCTATGAACATGTATAACCTCATATATATATATATATATATATATATATATATATATATATATATATATATATATATATATATATATATATATATATATATAACTAATGCTTGTTTTTTTTTAGAGAAAGAATAATAATTTTGAAGTTGAATTCATGTGAGTCTTTAATTAGCCGTATGACGTCTTCAATTCTGACTTATCAAGAATTTCATCCTCCTTGTGATGTCTTCAATAAGTCTTATCTCTCTTAAACTCGATGTGGCAGATTGGCAGCTTCCCTACTCATCCATGCATGTTCCCCAACCATTTCTGAAACCCCACTTCAACCAAAATTCACTAGCCCATATTTTTCAAGAAATCAATTGAATAAAAAAGTAAAAATGAAGCGTGACTTGTACTATAGAATTCTTAACCGAGAATCCGATATCAAACCGAGAATCCACGTCACCACGTCAAATTAAATCTGCTAACAGGATGATGAGAACTGTATAATCTGAAATTCATTAATTAACAGAGTCATTGGATACAACAAATAAATACAAGAGAAGAGTTACAATTTGACAAGGACACATAGAGTCCTAATACTCCTCCTCAAGCACAAGGTGATCTAGAAACATGTTGCTTGTCATGAAGAAACGTAAAACGAGGTCCTAGGGGAACTTTAGTAAAAATATCTGCAAGCTGGTCTTTAGTAGGAATAAAATTAATTTGTATCTCTCTAGCAGTCACTTTGTCCCGAACAAAATGATAATCAATCTCTACATGTTTGGTGCGAGCATGATATATAGGATTTGCACACATGTAGGTAGCACCAAGATTGTCACACTATAAATTGGGCACAAGAATATTGTCAATACCAATTTCACGCAGTAAAGATAGAATCCAGATTACCTTAGCGCATACAAATGCAAGAGCCTTGTATTCAGCTTCAGTGGAAGGCCGAGCTACAGTTTTTGTTTCTTACAAACTCAAGACACGAGATTTGAGCCAAGAAACACATGCATCAAAATCAATTGTGGACTTACAATCTTCAGGACACTCAGCCCAGTCAGTGTTTAAGAAAACATGAAGATCATTTGCCACAAACTTACGTATACGCAAACCAAAGTCAATAGTGCCTTTAACATACCTCAGCACATGATGTGAGCCAAATTGTGCATGTTTCTAGTGTTAGTTTGATTATATTTGTTCGGTTTAACTTTATGAAATTGTTATTTTAATTGCATATTCCCTTGTTTTCTCATTAAGATATGATTTTACACTTGATTTAAATGTTTTACGATGTTTGTTAGTGTTTTGGAACCATTGTAGATCAATTGCAAAAGTAAGGGAAGTTTTAGGACGAGTTTGGAGCCAAAACAAAGTCAAGGTGAAGCTAAATAGGTGGCTAAAATGCTTCAAAGAGAGCCAAAGAGTGGTACTTTCAATGGATTTGATCACAAGAACAAAACAAAGAAAAAGTGGAGCAAAAGACCAAAGAGTTGAAATTCCCGCTGAATTTGACGACACTTTAGTATTTTGATCATATCTCACTCTTGGAATGTCTGATTCAGGTGATTCATGCGCCATTAGAAAGAATATTCAATAGGCTACAACTCTTATGAAGATATCAACGTCTATATCAGAATGAAAAATGGTCAAAATAAGCCTGCAAACCGGACCTACGTCACTGGGCGAGATTTTGGAAAGTTGTGTGGAAATTTCCTAATCCATTCCTACTGAACTTCAACTATAAAAAGTCCATCTTCCCTCAACCCTAGGGCATTATGCTGTGTTTTGGAGACAATAAAGAAGAGAATTGTGAGCTACAAGTTGTCTTTGGAAGCAAGAAGAAAGCTAGGGAGATTTGGGAAAATCACTTGGTTTATTCTTGTACTCTCTTTGATAATTTGTAAACTCCTTATCTTTATTATGTATTGCATATTAGCTATGCGTGGCTAAGTTTCTTTAGAGATTCTTGGGTAAAAAGTGTTTATGAACCTATGTGCTTGTTTCTTAGATTCTTAATATATTGATGTTTGGGTTTTTAACTTGTGTTTTGAATTGTTGATGCTAGTAGTTAACGACCGTAATTACTTGTTTCATAGCTTTCTTTGTGTCATAACGGGAGTTAAGCATAATTTAGGGCACACACAATTGCACTTAACTATTGCACCTTGGGAGATGACAAATTAGTTGAGGAGTTTAATTCTTGATTGTTGCATATCGGGAGATGGTAGTAGTTAGAAATTTATCATGAATGCATGTTCTTATATTGTTTAGTGTTTATATCACGGGAGTGAATATTCACTTTTTTTAGGTTAGAGATTACGGGAGTAACTCTTTCGCTTGTTGCATCTCACACTTGTTTAAACCCAGAATTAATATTGCACTTTAATTTGGCACTAGGTGATTAAAGACTTGAATCCCTGGAATCTCATTCTCTCTCTATTGTTTTTCACAAACCTGCTACTTTAATTTGCTTTGTTTTAAGTATTTTAATCCACCATCCATGATATTCATTACGATTAGCTTCACAAGAATAGATTAGTAGCTAGTGCTTAAAACGCCCAACTTTCCTGTGGATTGATAACTCGTTACTCTGAGTAATTATGTGTTTGAGAATTATACTGCAATTAACACACGTTTTAGTTGAGCCCAATGAGACACCGTAGAAGCCTGCATGTGCTGACAGACAAGTCAGGACGGGTGATAGTTATATATTGCAATGTCCCAGCTAAGCTCTGGTACTGAGTAGGATCTTCATGCAAATCGGTGGACTCAGGCGCCGAACGTGGAACATGAACGGGAGTGGCAAGCGGTTTACAGTCTGTCATACCAGCACACTTTAGTATGTCAGTCATATATCGACGCTGCGAAAGCAACAATCCACCAAGCTCTCGTATCATCTCAATGCCTATAAAAAACCAAGGTGCTCCCCGATCACGAATCTTAAATAATGTTGCAGACAACAAGACATTCACCAAATTCGGGTCACTACCCATAACAAGAATATCATCTACATACACCAATAAGTAAACATATGCAGAACCCTGTGAGTAATAAAATAGAGAGGCATCCGATTTTTAGGCCTGTAAACCAACTGATAACTAAAACGTATGCAAATGATTAAACCAAGCTCTAGGAGTCTATTTAAGACCATATAAGGAATGCTTCAACAAGCAAACATCATCTGGAAACTGGTTATCAGTATAACTTGGTGATTGACGCATATAAATTAAACAGTCTCAGCCAAGTTACCATTTAAAAAAGCATTATGACCGTTCAATTGACGAATAACCCAACCAGACAACAAAGCTAAAGAAAGAAGTAACATGACAGTTGTAGGCTTGATCATTGGCTGAAAGTATCCAAATCCCTTTGTTACCAAGTGAACCTTGTGACGCTCAGTTGAACCATCAACCTTCCTTTTTGTGTGAAAAAATCCATTTGCAGCCAATGACATTCATACCGGGATGAAAAGAAACCAGATGCCATGTTTGATTATGAAGAAGGGTTCGGATACCCGGTAGCCTGTGTCTAACAAGTGGGCTTAGAAGGACAAACCTTAGCAGGCAAATTAATTTGTTAAAATTATTTGTTGATGACTAATTTGTGAATTATGACATTGTCGAGGGACGATTGTGATAATTTACTCTATAAATTATTGACTAAATTTTTATAGTCCAATGGTACCAAGTTGAACTTCGAGGTTGTGGGTTCGTTCGAATACGCCGACTTTAAACAACTAAAGTTTATAAAAGTCTTTAGAAGTTTATAAAAATTAAGATTACATACATTTCTTTAATATTGGACATATATTTTTTGTGTGTATCGCGTATATAAAATAGTAATGTGTATATATATGAGGTGATATTTTTCGGAATTGTTACTATTAATTAACTACTGCTTGATTTTGCATTTTGTATAAATTTGTATTTATCATTTTTGTTCTTTTATTATTCTTTTAATCAAGATTTAATTTCTTGATTTTCATGTTCTCCCCTAACCCCTTGCAGTCGCACACATGCACAAAGTCAGTCAAGCGCACACGGCACATCGCTCTCTCTCTCTCTTTCTGTTTTGAAATATATAATGACGTAGGAATTTGTTTAGAAAAGGTTTGCTGCATTTTCTAATTTTCTAGAGAGAGAAAGAAATTGAGAATGGAAAATCTGAGGAGTATGGAATGATTGGGTGAGCGAAACCCTAAAGTTGCGCAATTTTCTGATTCAGATTAGGTGTTTATTGTATTTTCTGCTGAAATTTCAGTCTCGGGTACGTGAGAGCTCATTGATTTGTTTGTTTATTCAAATTATTATCTGCTCCAGCTGATCGTTTTGAATTGTTATTCGATTGCGGTGAAAAATTTTCAGATCGGTGGTGGAGGGAGAGGTGTTGACGGGAATTCCTGGAAAAAAAATAGTACGGAGTATAATAAAAATAATAAGAAATGCCTTCGCACGCGGATCTAGATCGGCAGATCGAGCAGTTGATGGATTGCAAGCCGCTGACGGAGGCGGAGGTGAAGACGCTGTGTGATCAGGCGAGGGCGATTCTGGTGGAGGAGTGGAATGTCCAGCCGGTGAAATGTCCGGTCACCGTCTGCGGAGACATTCATGGGCAGTTCTACGATCTGATCGAGCTTTTTAGGATAGGCGGCAAATCTCCTGACACCAACTACCTTTTCATGGGAGATTATGTTGGTGAGTTTCGGATATCCTATCTCGGATTTTCAAGATTTTGACGGTTGTATTTAGTAGGGTACTAAATGTTGGAGCTGTGTACATAATAGGTAAGAGAACTGTGTGAACTGTGAAGTGGTTTGGATTTGCTGAGTCATATGAGAAATGATCCCTTGGATTGATGTGAATATATTCATCTTTGTAATCTGAAGTTGATAGCGTGAAAAAAGATGACAACTTAGCAAATAAGATTATAAGAACTTCTGAAAGTTTCAGAAGTGTAGTTTTCCTGAATTGGAATGTGATCATTTTTTTTATTCCATGTACATCTATGCTGTGAGTGGGAGCTCCTATGAGGATACAAGCATGTTATGGCTAAAAGTTGAGGATGCTTTAGACGTACTATCACCGAGTATCCTGCCATTATTCTACATTTCCACTTCTGCAGTCTGCCTAACCTTTCAATCTCCGTTTTTGTGCTTCGAAGGATAACATACAGTGTTTGGATGATGGTCTGGTACTGTGACTTATGGCAGGATGTTTACACTGGTGGATGAGTTGAATGATGTATCTTCATAAACAAGGCGCTAATTTTACTATGAGCAGGCAATGTTTGACCAAGAAAAATGATTGCTAAATATTTTGCTAGGATTCCATCATTTGGTTGTGTACTGCTGACCTTGATGTGTATGTCTCAAGGTCAATATGAAATAGATACAGTTTTACTAAATATTTTCTAGAATCTGGCTCCATGCAAATTGGTTGTGGTCTTGTGGACTTGTTATAACATCCTTGTGATACTTGGACAATGTTTTTCATGCCACAGAGTCTAGTCAAAGAATCGTTGAGATTGTTGACAAAAAGGTGTTAACAACTTTTTTTTTTTTTTTTTTTGTATTAGATTCAGGATGTATCCATGTATTTCACTTACGCACATTGATACGTTTAGTCTACTCTACTCTAGGTGCTTACTCAAGAAGGAGCCCTTGGAATGAGTTTTTCTTTTTTTCTTGTGTCTGAAATATCCATGAACAAAAGCTCAAATCATCTCATAGACTCATATTGATATTAGTTTTGCAGAACCTACCCTTATCTTTTGAAAGTTTGTGTACTCTATAAAATCTTGGACAAGTTTGGCTGTTTGAGTACTTATAACACTGTGTCTATGATTGGCTAACTGTGTTTACTTTTGAGTTCTTTGTTTGAACGTTGTTATATATCTAGCATCCTATTAATAATATTTGTTTGTTAACTGCAGACCGTGGGTACTATTCAGTGGAGACTGTTACCCTTTTAGTTGCTCTGAAAGTACGCTACAGAGATAGGATTACAATTCTTAGGGGAAATCATGAAAGCCGGCAAATCACCCAAGTGTAAGTCTTTTATTGGCTGAATAGTGCTTAACACTATTTTATAATAAATAACAGAATGTTAGTCCTGAGTGAAATACATGTTCTAGATATAGTGAGATGATTGGAAACATTATTGGATTGGTTGTTATGTCTATTATTTGTTTTTTCTTATCTTGAGTTTTAAGGGTCTTGATTACTTGTGTCTTATTTTGGTATTTCCATAATTAAGTATGCTACTTTCATATTCCAGTTTTTACATAGTTAATAATGTCATTATGTTATAGATTGATTGCATCCTTTATGGAAGTGGATTTCATAACCATGATCTTGGATAGATAGATTGTAAATGAGTTTGAGTTACTGTTTCCACCAAATCAATTTGAACATTTATAGATATTCCACCTATTCTACCAAATTATTTCCAGAATATCTCATTTTTATTCTCTTTCCTTAATTAATTAATCAATTTAAATAATTATTACCACACATAACACGTTATAAATCACATCACACAATTAATGTAAAAAAAGAAAAAATTTACAAAGTGAAATATACATTAAGTATAACAAGAGACACAATTAGCAAGTTTTAACCCCCAAAATCCCAAATCTCTAAAGACAACAACATGCTTACCACCAACTAAGCTGCCTCAACCTTCAGTGACCTTCCTATATAATAATATAGAAAAATACCACTTGAACTCCCAAAATCTCATTGTTATTCTCTTTCCTTGAACAGAAGATGTGAAACCTTATGTAGGCATTCAATTTAAACATACTTATGTTGCTTCACTCTTACTCAAGTAGTACTATGCTGATCGGGAATAGGGATAATTAAGTGCTCTTACGTGCAATAGGATGAAGTTTGGCAAAATTTTCACAAAGTGAAGACTTTTCAAATTTTGGACTAAAGTGGAATAGTATTTAAAGTCGAAGGACCAAAAGTGGAATGTTTTATGAAGTCAAACACTGGTTGGGAATGCTAATATAGTTGAAGGAAAAAAGTGAATAAATTCAGTTGTAAATTATTAAGTCCCACATTGAAAAAATAAGAGAAAATATATCGGTTTATAAGAACATGGGTTAGACTAACTAATTGGTTGGATTCAATCTTTTAATTTGGTTTGGCCCATGTGCATTATAGCCCAACTGAGTGACCCTAGCTCAACCTTAGTTTATAACATAAATATTATGATGCAATGGATGCTTCAACCTTCGATAGACCATTGGGCTAATACCCTTTGATCGTTATGTAATGAAGTAGTGCCATGCAGGCCTATTTTCAGCTCTGAGAAAAGAAGTGTAAGGCTGCATTTGTCTTCCCTTAACTAGGCGGCGTGATGCGAGAGCATTTCACATTGTTTCTGACCCTTTGCTTCAAAACATTTAGATTTACATATTCAAAACTCTATTGATGTGACCAGTTCTAGATACCTACATCTCGATAACTTTCAGCCGTTTCAGGGAGTTGTCTTCCCCCTTATGGTTAAATTTTTGTTTCTTATTTGTGGAATACTGCAGTTTTTCTTTTTGGATTCAGTTGAAAAATAATTCATGTATCTCATTTCTTGCCAGTTATGGTTTCTATGATGAATGCTTGAGGAAGTACGGAAATGCAAACGTTTGGAAGTTTTTCACTGATCTCTTCGATTATCTACCTCTGACAGCACTTATTGAGAGTCAGGTTTGGAATGTTACTGTACAATGTACAAATATTTCATCCATATAATCTCATGACAGCACTGTCCTCACTCAACTTTTGTGAAATTGTAGATATTCTGTTTGCATGGAGGACTTTCACCATCTCTGGATACCCTTGATAATATCCGAGCTCTGGATCGTATACAAGAGGTACAACTTGTAGGCGTAAAGCTTGTGATGTATATTTTTTTAAAACTGTTTTAGCAAATGGCTTCTCTCTCTCAACAGTCTACTTCAGTGACTCTGCCTATTTTTGCTCATCCAAAGCTGTACAGTAGTATCAGCAAGGGTTTGTCTGGGGTTCAACTCTATATATGCTTTATGATTATGTGTTAAATGAAAATTGTTCATAGGTGTTGTGTGATTCACTTTTCTGCTCTTGAAATATATGAAGCCTCTGCATTAGAAGATCCATTCAGCCAGGGCTATTGATTAGTATATTCATCTATAAAGGCCTATTCACTAGTAGTTGTTCCTATGCTTTATTGGTTTTAGGTATGTTTTGTTATGTTTTCAAGTTCCACCCAAGTTGGTGTTTTCTGTAATTCACTCAGTTCATTTTGAGGGTTTTATAGGTCCCCCATGAAGGTCCAATGTGCGATCTGTTATGGTCAGACCCGGATGATCGGTGTGGCTGGGGAATATCTCCCAGAGGAGCTGGCTACACCTTCGGACAAGATATAGCTTCTCAGTTCAACCACACCAATGGGCTCACACTCATTTCAAGAGCTCATCAGCTTGTTATGGAGGGCTATAACTGGTGTCAGGTTCGTGTACCTACCCCTTTTGCAGAACATAACTTGGAGGGTATCTTTCCTTTCAGCTAATTGTTCGTTTTATGCCATTTTTAATACTTGGGTGCAGGATAAGAATGTGGTGACGGTATTCAGCGCTCCAAACTATTGTTACCGGTGTGGCAACATGGCTGCCATTCTAGAAGTCGGGGAAAACATGGAACAAAATTTCCTTCAGTTTGATCCTGCTCCTCGGCAGATTGAGCCGGACACTACAAGGAAGACTCCAGATTATTTTTTGTGATTATCTTTGTTAGTGCTTGCCGTGTCATTGTTTGTAGTTTTCAGTGTTAATGCCAACTTGTAGAGCTAGAGCTATTTACAAGTTTTCCTTTTGTTCTGTTAATTCATACCCACCCATATAAACTCTTTGTTGTTGTTGTTCTTGCTGGCTGTTGTTTTGCTTTTTGTTTTTTTTTTTTTTTTGTTTGTTTGTTTGTTTTTTTTTTTTTTTTGGTTTATTTATTTATTTATTACTTTGGCGGGGGATAAGGGTTGGATATTCAAGAACTTACAAGTCAAGATTGAAAGAGGGGCGAAATATATTCACCAATTTTGCTTTTCCACTTTTTTTTTTCTTCAAAAATTATTTATTTATATTTTTGGGGTTTTATTTAGCTTCCAAAATGTTTTCTGGTGTCTGCTACGTTGAGTACAATGTTACAGAAGGTGCTAGTCGGGTATACGGGGTGCCTAACGCTTAGGCTGTAGAGTATATTGTTTTCACTTTTTTCACTTAAGACTACGAGTTGTTAGATTGTTATAATTTTCAAACTAGTCAACTGCATATATTAGTTGTTCATAGGTGTTGTGTGATTCACTTTTCTATCCTAAATTCATTGATAAATACACCAATCTAATTACAATTAAATATAATTAATTACAATCTTTTTTAATCGTTACTCTCTGTCCTATTTTATTTATCTTGGGACCAGGTAACACTGTAACAGTACCCGTAGCGGTTGAAAGAATTGTATTCGCAGCCTCTTTAAAAAGTGTAATTGAATGAAATTTGATACATTCAGAAAAGAGGCTTCTGTTTGTGGTTCATAAGTATCAAAATTACAACATCACTAAGACAACCTTCTTTACAAGTTCAAACCATTCCATGAGCTAAAGAATTCCTAACCTTAAATCAATGAAGACGTTTGATTCAAAATCGAGAACTGTTAGGAACCCTTACAGGTGCACCACCAGGAACTGCATTGGCTCGCTTTCTTTTGTAATATATAGCCGAACCACTAATCATCAGCAAGCCCATCATTATTCCCTGAGAAATGGTTTGAAGCATGATCAGAATGAAGTAGATATATCCATGTAACAAATTGGCAATTTGAATAAATCCAACACCACACGTAGAAGTTGCAAGAATGAGATATGCGATGAACAGAATATTTATTGATTGCATATAGTCTAGTCTTATAGCCTTGAACCAAGTGCAAGTGGAATTTACGAAAGTAAATCATAGCATATGGTGTGCAATAAAAGACTTCAAATTCATAATCTTGTCCTGAGAGTATAGCTAGCAGCCTATCATTTTAAAGAACAAAGCTTGGGAAGTGTGAGAATTAGTGAACTCTCGGCTCTGATTAGCTTCAAAGGTATGGACTGCAAAACTAGAGTAAACCCTAGCATATAGTTCTTCAAAGCCACAAATTGCACATGAGATGCTTGCACTATTCAATCATACTGATAACAGAGTGAAAACTATGGCAGGAAATATATTCCTATGCATTCCTTATTTTCTACTCAGGTAATGAGTTAGACTTGTAAGAAAAAGGAAAAGCAATCTTAGATTAGAATATTCTGTATAAACAATTTCCACAGTTAACCCAAATTGCATTCCTATGTCTACACATATACAGGATATAGGCATCATATCTTTTGGAGTGACGAGGGAAACCTGCAACCACTACCTGAGGGTGTGCACTGGATAAACCCCGCCTTGTGACCCTAGTTGGCAAAGGACCACAATGACCGGCTCAAACCAAGAATGCTGGGATTCGAACTCGTGACCTTGTGCTTACAAGTTCGTATCCTTAGCCATCTTGGCTGAGGTTACCCCTAAGGCATCATATCTTTGGATGATGGTAGGGATGAGTACAACCAAATTTTAGTACATGCCCCTGTAAATAATTACTCTTTTAAGAGGTGTAGCAAATGTATGTACATACCTCAAAACCAAGTACTGACACCCTCTCTTCACTAACTGGTGTAATACAGCTCCTGTAAGTTATGTAAGCCTGCAAACCACTATCGGAAGTGGATGAATCTTCCAACAAACTTCTTTCCCTTATTGTATAACTGTGAGTTTCTAATGTAGATCGACTCTTTTGCATTTTCTTGCTCTTTGCGTCCTTAGAACCGTCTTTAATTTCTTCACATTTGAAAGGAATGCGATATCCGGTTTCGCTACATCGATACTTTTCATCACTCTACAGGAAACAAAAGGGGAGTGCTAGTACACACCGTCAAAAGACACAAATTTCCCGGTCCCCAAACCTCACCAAGGAAAACAGCATTTAATTAATGTATTGCACTGAGGTTTGGTTCAGCCATTCAATGGTGAAAGATTGATCTTTTTTATATATATTGGATTACTGCCCGAAATTATTATAGTAGCTTGTTTTGTTTATAAATATCACATACTTGAGCAAGACATGGCTGACCTTATTATAAAAAAAATATTCCAAAAAGACATTAAAATTGCTTTCAATCTTATACCAGGAAACAACTTCTCCTTTAAGTTCTCAAAAAAAAAAAAAAAAAAAAAAAAAAAAAAAAAAAAAAAAAAAACCTTCTCCTTTAAAGAAACCAACAAATACATGAAATTTCATAAGCATAAGCTTCGGCAAACTCCAGTTTCCAAACGCATAAACTTTTCCAGTATCCAGTTCAAACCAGAGTTCAATGCATACCAGTCAGATGATCATTATACAATTAAGCAAACTACTCAGATCAATTAACAGAAACTAACAACATACTCGAAATTGAAACCGTTGCACTCAAAAATCAATTATCCACCAGTATATGAAATTCAATTATCAAACTGAAAATAAAACTAGTAATTTAAACAAAAATGCCAGAGAGAGAGAGAGAGAGACCTTTTCGGAGTAGGCACAGGGAACGCAGGGACCAGAAGGAGAGCAGTCGAAGGTGACGTTTCCTCCATTAGGGGTCTCCTTGAAGCTCATCATCATTCGGCGCGCATCTCCTCCTCCAGAGCTTTCCACGAGAGAGGGAGCTGAAAATACGGAGATAACAATAAAATAGAGAAGAATCGCCGACGTGCCGGAAAACTTCATGTGATTTGCTTTTCTCCGACGAACGTCTACCGCGACTGTCACTTCTGTCTGCCGGTAGCGGGGATGGTGAATGGATCCTTTCTCAGATCTCCGGGAACTTCGTCTAAATGTATCCCCCACTATTTTTGTTTATTCCAATTTGCATCAAGGGTTTCTATAATTCCACTTTTCACCCCCTACTTACAATTTTTTTTTAAACAATCTAAAAATCTCAATCAAAGTTATATCCCTCATTTATGTCCATGTTTTTAATGCTAATCATTTTGTACATTGTGCTTTTAGAGTTGTACTATATAATTTTTTGAACAAAAATCACCTACCGTTATAACTTCCGTTATCTTTTCCATTATTGTTACCATGCACATGCATCCACCATATATTTTCTTATATTCTTTAATGATAATAATATTTGTAGACATTATAGATTGGATTATTATAATAAATAAATTATTTGAGGATTTTAATTAGTAGGGATTTGTTAGTTATTTTTAAAAAATATAAATATTGAGCATATGTTTTTACGCATCGCGCATATAAATGACTAGTAAAATTATAAGGGTGAAATAAGCGTTCAAATTATATGAATTATGCAATTAAAACTTTAAACTACAATTAAAACTTCAAACTTGTAAAAAAAAATGTAATAATTGTTATGTACCATTTTACATGTTACCTTTAGATTACCAATTACTACTTGTTGATTACATTTTAAAGTTAAATTGGCATGTTAACGTGGTTTACATGTGTTTTTAAAGTGACGTGATGTATTACATTTCTAATAAAACAACAACAACAATAACAACAACAAAGCTTCCTCTTCTATGAAGACCCCATCCGTGAAAGTCAATATATAGTAGACAAGGTGCAGTAAACTTCTCGAATTCTCCATGAAGTTAAAAACATTATCATTGTTTGTATACTAACATTAATTTTTCATTTTCAACCCTATGTCTCTTAAGAAAAGAGGGCAAATGGGTTACATTATAGATATACTAGACGAGTTTCATTTTCATCTCTAAAAGGAGGTAACGGTAGTGTGCTACCTTCACTTTCGCCTTCTTTTGGGAAGAATCATTGTTGCTTAGAAGAAGACAATACAACTTCACCTTCTTTCAAGTCTTAAAGAAAAAATTTCGCTTTCTTCCAAATTTGGAAGAAGAAGATGGAAGGAAGGTAAAACTTCTTCCAGGAAAAGTTAACAATGGTTGTCTACTTGTCTATAGTGACATGACAATGATGGATATGGTTACAAGTTATCTAAATGTACAATATTTTCCCAATATAGAAGGAAAAATTTGAAGAAGAAAATGATCAAAAAGAAAAAAAAAATGGTAAAATACACGATTGAACTAGTTGGGATACTACAATTGGGCTACTAAATTAAACTAGTAATTCACCCGCGCGCGATGCACGGAAAAAAATTATGTTATTATAAATATAAATAAAAATAGAAAAACTAAAATATTTTAAATTATATAATATAATAATATTTTTGAGCTTCCATTGGTCAAGTGTTTATTATTTTTATAGAATACAAAATTACAATTAAAATTAAAATTATAATTTTGTATGGTTAATATAATCTCTAATTATGTGCATATTCAAATAAACTTATAGAGATAATTTATATAATTACATTGATTTATTCTTAATTGTATTTCATCTATATTATAATTTTCACAATACACATAATAACTAAGATAATTAACTTTCAAAAAAAAAACTAAGATAATTACATTTGGAAAGCAAATTTCAAATTTTGTATGTGTAAATTTAAACTCTAATTAAACACATTTTTTATATGATTATATAATATATAGCTATTTTATTTTTCAAAAGTATATATTTTTTATATGATTATATAATATATAGCTATTTTATTTTTTAAATATTGTGCTTTTTTTTATAATAAAAGATGTTGTGGCATTAATTGTTTCCCAAACCATATAGCTTTATTATATAAAGGATTCTTCTCATTTACCAGCTTCTAAATTATTTCCTCCACTAAAATTCGAACTCACAATTTTCCATATAGGAGTCTAACTCAAGTGCCATTAGATCACAAGCTCTTTCAATAACTTAATAGAGTTGGTATGTGATTTTATTTTAAAGAACCAAGATCAACATGACAAAATCTAAAACTAAATACCCTATTTTTCCTCTTGCTTCATTTGCCACTATCATAAGGGATGTGCATAACTCGACCCATCCGAAATTTTCGCCCAACCCGAAATCAGAAAACAATGACAAAATAGGTAGACGAATTTGAAATTGTTAGGAACAAGTGTGTTGGATAGATTTTGATGACACCAAATAAGTTAAGAAAACAATGACAATAATAAGTGATTTTTTTTTCCTTTCCTTTCTACGCAAAATTGGAATGTATTGATGAGGGTGGAGGGGGGAGAGAGAGTGGTATGAACTTCAATTCCACATAAAGAAGAAATTGCAATTTCCTCCAACCAAGCAAATGTAATTTCAATTACCAAAGAATTAGGGTGTAATTTCAAGTCCAACCTACCAAACATGCCATTAGACACCGGTGTTTTTTCATCAACTAAATTTTTAGGAAAGTACGAAATGTATAGGAAATAACAGTGTTAAGAAAATTAGTATACATGTTTGGTGTTATTTGAAAAATATTATTTTAAGCATTTGGTTAATTTTAAGTTTTAACTTTCCTAGTGTGAGCTTCAGGGGAAAAGAAAAATCTAACAACCCATAGATTGGATTTATTGATTTTCTTCCAAAAGGTTAGACATTGGCTTACTGTGTACAAGGAGTCTCCTCACTATCGCTGGTGAGACTTAATCCCTGGTCGAGCCTCAATCCCTGGTCATTCTTCCAACATTTCACCTCTATGACCAGTTGAGCTGCCCATGCGGGTCAAACTCCTGTGGACCAAAACTTTTTTAGCTCAAACTCTCATCAAAGTCTACACTAGAATAACTTTCTTGACTACCATATGATATATTAAAATATGGACGTAAAAATGGGCGTATGAACCTGCATGGCAGCTCAATTGGTCACAAGAGTGAAGTTTAAAAATAATAATCTGGGATCAAGTCTCACCAGCGACGTTGGAGTTGAGAATTCTAACTTTTGAGAACAACAAAAATTAAATTGGCCTACCAGAGACCAAAAAGTAGCATTTATTATTTAACTGTTTAAGAACCCAAAGTGATAAATCTTGAGTAGTATTTGAATGGCATCTTCACATGATCACCGAGTAAAGTGGAAAGAATTGGCAGAATCATGAAAGAACTTCATACATACGTTTTCTGCATTAGACTTAAAAGAAGAAGGCTACTGGATCAAGTAATAAACATGAAAGAAAGAAATGGGAGTATTCTGCAGTAAACTAACTATGCATCGATTCGTGATGAAACGTAGGAACATGTACAACAACATATATAGATAAGGCTGACCATAATTTTAACCCCCATGCTCAGGTCTCCTGTTTTATGCAATTTGCAAGTGCCGCCCCGTTTAGCCTACCAGCAAGGCAACCTCGGGCGCTCTCCCATTTCCTCGTTGAAGATGACTCTAATGTTTCCCCGGTGCCATGCATACTCGGATGGCGATTTCTGGAACTATTTTCGATTAGTGTTTGTGCAATGTCATCTTCACCTGGCATCATGTGCATGGTGTTCTCTGGCTGACTTCTACTCGAGAGCGAAAAACTCGTGTTGTAGCTTTGTCCTTCTTGTTTTCTCCAGAACTTAGGACTCAAAAACTCTGCCCGAGGTAGCATAAAACATGTACTTCCCGTATAATCAGTGGTCGGAATCCTTCTGCCGGAGAACCCCAAACACTGCTGCATTTCATCCAATACCCTCTCCAGTCCATTCACGCGTTCCTCTAACGAGTTCATCCCATTCTGGGAACTTCCGATGAATCTCTGAAATAAAAAGCATCTTCTCAGCATATGGTTCTCATTACATTAGCATCAACCACTAAATGAAAGATATAATGTGAAAAACAGCAAATAGACAAACCTCAAGAAGGTCCATTAAGCTGGACTGTTGACTCTCAATCTGTCGAAGCTGTTTATATATCAAAAACATATCCTCGTACTCTTCCTTACTTTCAATGGCATCTTTCACGGCATTTGCATCACGTACGCTCAAACTGCAAGTTTCTGTTTCATAAACAGGGACAATACGGGCTCCAAATCTCGAATTACCAAACTTGAATTGTTTTTCACCAGAACCCATATCCTTGCAACTCTTACTCTCTGTTGAATCAGAAACATTGAGATCTCGACTCTCATTATCATCACATGCCAACTCTAACGAAGAAGTCTGCTTTTCTGGGACTTCTGTTTTCAATTCAGAGGATCTTCGAGTATCCACTTTAGAGGACTTCGTGACACTCGATTCGGAGGATCTTCCATTTGACTTCGCACGGACAAACTTCTTAGTAGGACTATTCTTTTGTGTGGTGATGGTAGACGAGTATGAGCTAGTGGATGCGAGAGACTTGCTCCTGGAGAAAGAACGCTTCGGCTGTGGAGTCTCGGAGCCAGCATCACTGGGGCTTTTCGATGGAGTTGGGGAAGATGCACCACTGCAATAATCTGGACACACACAAGCCATAAGAACTTGTCGTCCTTTCGACATTCAAATACATTCTATAATAAGAACCCAAAGTTCGAACTAGAATTATAAAGAATATGCCAGAATTATTTTCTTCCTAGGATGCTCGTTCATCTATGATCATTATAGACTATATTAGTAACAGTTGAAAATGACCAATAATTAGCACTAGAGAGTGAACCACAGTAAAAGATCACTCACAGTATCAAGAAATCAAGAAAGCAAAAACGAGTCATGTAGGACAATACATTCAACATATCCAACTGTCTTGCACCAAGAGTCACTTTGTCCTAGCAAACTACCTTACTTTTATAAATTAAAAAAATAAAAAAATTACTTTATCTAAACATCGCATTCCAAGTGGTCTGTACCATCTTCCACAAATTCAATATCAACACAGATTGGAAAAGATATGTCTGCATTTCCTTTTACCTTTTGGCGACGACTTGGCTTGTAGCTGAGGCGAAACTTCATCTGAAGTTGCCGGAACCTCCTTCCACCAATCCAATGCTCGGTTCATTGTCTCCCTCACAGCCTTCACCTGTACCATTCACACATATCTTATTCACCCATGTTTTCAAATTTTTGATATACTAAGTTTTCCAGCTTATGCTAGACTAATCCTAAGCCCTCAAGTGTTGCTGGAGGAGGTAAATCCCGAGTCGACCAAACATTCACCTATGTTTTTTTTTTTAATTTTTGATACATTAGGTTTTCCAGCTTCCGCTAGTCTAGACTAATCCTATGCCCCAAGAGTCGCTCGAAGAGGTAAATCGCGAGTGGCTCAAACATTCACCCATGTTTATGTCATTAATGTTCTATGGATTGATTTTTTTTTTTGTCAACCAACGAGTGTCCTGAGCAGGCCCTACCTATAGGAGGCACCTTTAAGCCCGTACCATACTCAAGACTAATCTTCGTTCACACCGAGCGGGCCCAATTAAGGGGCACCCTAATTATAGGAGGCACCTTCAGTACCATACTCAAAGACTAATCTCCGTTCGCACCGAACTGGCCCAATTAAGGGGCAAAGTGGTGGCCAGATTGGTTGTTCTATGGATTGATTGATTGATCAAAACCTAGGCTTGGAAGAATTTGAACAATTTAAATTACTATGAAGTGATAATAATTGGGGGAATTAGATAAGTAGATAATAAATGAATACCTTGTCGAATCTTCTGGTATCTAAAGAGGCTATGCAAGAGGGCTTGAATTCAGCGAGTAAATCTCTCTCCGCCACCGCCAATCTCCCCAGGGTCTCGGCCGCCGCCTTCCTCGCCGCCCAATCTTCGCTGCTTAGGAATTCAACTAGAGTGGAGACTAAGCCGTTCAGCACGGTTCTATTGGCGGCACCGCCAACACTCACGATGCTGCCAATTAGAGACAGCAGCGATGGCTTCGCTTTGAAGCAGTCATTCTTCACCAGTTTGTAGAGCTTCGGAAGCAGCTTTCTCAGCTCCGCCGGGTCGGGGTCCGGCGTGGCTTCAATCGCGGCGGCGAGGCAAAGCGAGGCGCCGATCTGGGAGTTGTGGTCCTGCTCGTGGAAAATGGAGTCGACGAAGGGCTTCACGATGGAGGAGAACGGGGGCTTAGTGATCTGCGCGGCAATGGACGAAACGGCCTCGACGCAGGCGGCGCGGACGGCGGAGTCCGGGTCGCGGAGGCGGCGGAGGACGGCGGAGAGCATCTTGGAGAGATGAGGAGACAGAGCGTCGCCGTGAGCGGCGGAGAGAACCCCAATGAGGCGGACGGAATGGCGGCGAACAGGGGACTTATCAGAAGAATCGGTGGCGGAGAGGCAGGTGAGGAAAGGGGCAAATCCGTCATTCGGCAGGCCCCGCGCAATGGCCTCGAGCTCAGTCGTGGCCGCCGCGAGGGTATCCCGGTCCGACAGCCGGTTCAGGCATGTGATCACCCGGTTCTTGAAATCAACACTCAATTGTCTAGACAGCGCCATTTTATGTTCAACGTCGTCAATACGCTTGCTTTCTTGCGTATGATACTACCTAGGTGGCGGTGGTGGAGGGAGGTGGAGCCGCCGGAGATGGTGGCGGAGGGGCATCGAACTGTTCCCTTGTGGAAGGGGAGAGAGAGAGAGGGAAGGAACGTGGCAAGGTCTTGAGGATGAGTGAGTGGGGGCATTAAATTTAGGAGTTGTAGGAAGGTGAATTTTGAGTCATTAACAAACAAATATTTAATATCTTCTTATTTATTTATATTTATTTATTCTTCCAAAAAGTTTAACCCCAACCCTAAGGGTCCACACCCCGACTCCACAGAGCATTTGGATATTTATATTTATATATCACGTTTTCAATTTAGACTAGACTAATTTTAAACTTCAAAATCACTACTCAAAAGTGTTAAAGGAGATAAATAGTTAGTGGTAAAAAATAAATTGTGAATCGTTGAATTAACTTTATTCTGATGAAACAAAATTTTCAGGGTGACACTTGAACCATTGAACTAAATTCTAGCAAAAATAAATATTTAATATCATGTAGATGTTGTATTAGTATATGGTCAATGAATTCTTTTATTATGGAAAATGATGCTTCCATTCTTTTATTTATTTATTTATTTTTAGTAAAACCATGTTACACTCCACCACTACAATTATTAATTAATAATCACTATCAGGTTACAATTAGATACAAAGTTCTATATTTTTTAAACAGAGATTAGAAAATGAAGTTTTTTTTGGGTGATGCCGCATCACGAACGAACCTACCCTGGAACCTTGTGGAGGAAGTAAATTACGGTATATGTGACACAATAGTTAGGAATCGAATTAAATCCGTGACATTATAGGGGCATCGCCATTTACTGGTTTGCCCTTTGCCAATGCGCCATATGCCCCGGGTACAGTGATGGTGGTAAAAGAAAATAACATTATTTTTGTTCACAAGAGAGTATATATTGACCTTCTTGATTTGAGTTAATCAGCTATGAGCAGTTTAAACTGGACGACTTGTTAACTTTTTTTATTTGAGTTGTCAGTTATGAGCCACCTAAACTGGTTTACCTCCTTGTGAACTTTTGCCAACTATAGTCACAAAGCATGATTTACACAATGCACACCTTCAAGTAATTTTACATTTTTACGTTTTATGGGGTAATAATTTTTAGATTTTTTTTATTGCATTTATCCAATAAATATTAATTGATGATGAAATATTATTACATTGTATAAAATTCGTTGAGTTTAGCTTGGTTCGAACATTAATGTTTTCATTATATTGAATTAAATATAGAGTATTTAGTAATGTACTTACTAAAAGGGCAATTATATTATTTCAAAAAAAAAAGGGCAATTATATTAATATAGAGTATTTAGTAATGTTTTCATGTCTAAATTTTCAATGCTTTAGGTCTATAATTTTGATCATTGTATTTCTAGTGGAAATTATTGGAAAGTTGACTAGATTTCAGAATCCATCTCATACCCCCCTCCACCCCCGGACTTAAATTAAGGAAAAAAGGGTTTAAAAAACATCAAATCTTAGCCATCAAATATTATTTAATAGACAGTCCGAATTAGATCACAACTTCTCACCTGAGTAATAACTTTCATATGAATTCGAATATATATATATATATATATATATATATATATATATATATATATATATATATATATAAACGTGGAATGATCTTATACGCTTAACTAGAATAATTTGATGAATAAGGTTGAAAATATAGGAAAAATACACTGACATTTTCATAAATATTATACACTTGTGTTGTGCATTGAGAAAAACTTAAAAGTGTATATGTAGATAACTAAGAGCATACTTAATTAACTACTTAAGAGAGGTGAGTATGGTAACAGTAATGCTTTGGTTCTTAATGAAGGGGATATTGCATTATTAATTTTTTTGGGTTAGACCACGAAATGTTCTGAGCAGACCCAATTGTATGAGACACCTTTAAGTTTGTACCATACTTAAATTAATCTTTATTCTCAATGAACTAAGTCAATTAAGAGATAAAGTGTTGGCTAGATTGATTTTTCAACATTGCATTATTAATTAATCGGTAAAATGTACTTTTACTTTGTTGTACTTGTACTCCGTATATTTTGGTTGGTCAACAAAAAACACTTACGTGTACACACTATATCAATAGTACGAATTGACCATTTGACTAGTATGTTTGGAAAATAATTCAATTTTCGTTATTAGATTTATAGGTGGTTGTCCATATTTAGTCTTTTTTTATCCGAACATTCACATTTAGTTCTAATATTATTGTGGCTTGATTATTTTTAGTCATCTATTAACAAAACAGTTTAAATGTCGTTAAATACAAATTTATTTCGGTCTTCAATTAAGGATTTTTTTAAAAAAAAATACTCCCTTTGTCTCATTTTATCTGTCCTACTTACTATTCATTGGTCAAAGTGTCAAACCAACTCTTTCTTCTTTTTTATTTTCTTTAGTATTTTTACTTATTTTTAAATTTGATATTTTGTGTTTAATTGTACTTTTAATATAGTTTCTAAATATATAAATTTTGTATACTAATACTAAACTTAATATTATAAAAAATTGAATTAAAAATGCCTTCAGTCAAGTCTCGTTAACCGAACCGACACATAAAATGGGACGGAGGGAGTACATAAAAATATAGCGGGCTCAACTCACTTTGTATAAAAATGATCGAAATGCTTTTGTATATATTTAACAAAATTTCAACGATTTTGTTGATGGAAGACCAAAAATGGTTGTGCCACAATAACACTAGGACTAAATGTGGATGTTATAATACTAAAAAAAAAAAAAATTAAAAATGAACTGTCACTTATAAATCTATGACCAAAAATGGAATTAATTATATGTTTGGTGTAAAATTGTATTTTGGCCAGGATGCATGTTATATTTGTTGACAAAATTAGCTAAAGATTAGTATTTAAATTGGCTCCTTTATGGTATAATTTTGAGTAGGGTCTACTTTTAATCTGGATTAAGTCAAAGTAAATTTGAGTTCTCTTAATTGAAATGATGAATTTAATATATTATACGTTTAAAATAGATAATGAGTAAATGAGAAATAATTATTAAAATGTAATAATTTGAGTTAAGAAAATTTTTAAGTAACATTTATCCCACGTTTGCATTTAATATATATACAATTCACCTTTTTTAGCAGATTGAATTGTGTAGCATAAAGTCTCTTTCTTGAACTTACCACCCAATCCCGTATGCACTCTCTATATTGAAAAACTACTAGTCTTTTCTCGTTTCTAGCCATTACTTTCCATACTCTCTCTCTCTCTCTCTCTCTCTCTCTCTCTCTCTATATATATATATATATATATATATATATATATATATATATATATATATATATATACACATGATTATCTTGTAAAAAATAAGATTAATCACGGGATTAATTTTATAAAATTAAAATTACAAATTTTCAATTTTGTAATATTTAAACAACTAATTTGACTCTTTTTCGCTTTACTTTGTAACAATTTTAATCGTTGCTCTACACAAATAAATGAATCAGATCAATCATAATTTTTACGTGAGAGTATGTTCTTTTACATACATATATAACAAAAATATTATTATATTTTCTCTTTAATATAAAGGTTCTCTCACTTTTCCATGAATAAAATGTTACATGAGTTAAATTCATTTACAAAATAATTGATCATGTGGTTCTATTTGAAGAATTTGTATTTTGTAGTGCAGTTACTCAATTACATGTAATTAGCTAGTGACTATAAAGAATTGCGACACATATGCAAATCATTTAATAAAATATATTAAGTTATTAAATTAACTTAATAGGGTAGCTCAAGTGACAAATGATATTTTTTTTTGTGGGAGAGAATTCCAGGATAACTTGAGAATGCCTCCTAGAATGAAAGACAATGAATATGGATTAGTCGGGTGGACTTGAACTGTTAATCTGACAATAAAATACACTAAATTTAATTTATCTCTTGAATTTTGATATTTAAATAAAATATTATACAATTCAATTGCAATTTCCTCTTGAATTTTGATATCTAAATAAAACTTATCATGGATAGTTGAATTTAAAGAAAATTCTATATTTAGTTCTCAATTATTCTATATTGCCACATTTAATCCTACTCCGTACTATTTTTATTTTGCCACATTAAATTCTTAACTTTTGTTTTATTGCCACAGTTAGTTCTTTAAAATTTTGTCATTCTGAATTTAATAAAGATGATTAACATGTAATTTCATCATTTAATTAAAAGAGTTTAAATGATAGGGGGAGAAATTACGTATTTGAGAAATAGGGTTGAATAATAAAATTATATGTTAGTCATCTTTATTGAACAGAGGAATATCAAAAATTTAAACTGAAAACTAATTTTAGCTAGCAAATTAAAATTAAGGATGTAATTGGCAAAATTAAAAAAATATGACTATATGTGATAATGCTATAATAGTCGATGATGAAAACCAGAAATTGCTCATGTTGAATTTATAAGTGGTTCAAATTATTAATTATGAAAACTAACATTAAATACTAAATTCTCTGTCAACTACTATGTAGTATGACGACACATCGGTAACCTTTACGAATGGTGGTCACAGAATTGAACCTTGGTGTATGGTGTGAGAATATATAATGCATTGTAAAAAATATTCAGGAGTGTTGTTAACATTTCTCGATAAGCAATGCCTAATTTATATCATTTGCATTTTAAAAATTAAATGAACAATACTAAAAATTAAAATTTGTTGAAATTAAATTGATAGACAAAACATTAAGCGACACATTTTAATATTTGAGTAACATTTATCTTAAGTTCATTTAATTAACAAAGAATACACAAAAACATTGTTGATCCAAAGGGTTGAATCCCCAACCCCAAGAACATTTCGGCTCCGACCCGACAGAGCATCTTGGAGAATATAAATTATGATAACTCAGCTGAACACAGAAACTAATTAATCCCTTGTTTACTGTGTACAAGGAGCCTCTAGCGAGACTCGATCTCGGATCATTATTCTCAAACTTCATCCCAGTGATTAACTAATTGAACTCTCATGCGGACAGAATAAACAAAACATGCTATTACATAGGAACATAATTTTTACGGTGCACACTCTTAAATAGTAACGGTACATTTTTCTCCTCATTCAGAAAAAAAGAATAAAGTATTTGGGAGAAGAAAA